TTTTTTTTTTTTTTTTTTTTTTTTTGCAAACACGTTCACGACAGATCAGATTCTACCAAGTGATGAACATTCATGCCAGAACCAAACATGTCTAAGCATGCAGTCTAACGAGAGCTAACAGGAGCACATGGAGAAGAACAAAAACAACCCGAAACACTCCGACAACAACACTGCTGCTTTTAGAAAAGTTCATCATCATCATCATCATCATCATCATCATCATGTCCAATAATCTCAGGATGTCCTGAGAGTTTAAATCTTCTAAAGTGTGTCTGTATTCAGTTTACCGGTTGGGTTGAGCCTGAAGCATCGGTACTGTTGCTATGGTTACCTGCAGGTTAATATACCTTCAGCTCGGAGGTTGAACTGTTGACCTGAACTATGATTGGTGTGTAACTATGTACAGTTTGAGCTACAGCTGCAGCAGGACTGAGACTGAGACGGTCGCTGAGCGTTGGTTAGATTTACCTCAGACGTGGACAGACGACAGCAGCGGGCCTCGTGCAAGAACACGTATGCGTTCTTATTCTGAACAGATGTTACTGTGTCTTCAGACAGGAGGAAGAATTCACCAAGAGTGGCGCGGACTGATGCAACGGTGCATCTGAACAAGATCAAAATGTTTTAACTCTCAACATACAGCTGGTACATTAATTTATCCCATAAAGGAACCAAACAATTTCAGTTTCAGTGCTTCGATTATGAAGTCGCCCCACAAACTGTTCACTGGACAAAGATAAGATTTGAAACAAAGAATTCATCTGACAAGTTTCCAAATGTTGTTGGGTTTAATAGATTAGATTGGACGCCGAAATCTGAACAACTGAAATCTCCTCACATTTTGTTTCATTCAAGAGACAAAAGATAATTTGATAATCTAAATAGTTGCTGATTTTTGCTGCAATTTGTCAGACAGTTTGTGCTCCATGCCAACACAAACTGTCCGCTCTTAAAATTTCTGCAAACGACTCCAAGCAAAAATTCACTTTGACGGATTGTGGCGCTCAGAGTAGGTCAGCCCAGTCATCAGAAGGAAATGTTGGCATTGTACGTTTCCGCAAGCATACGTAGCATATCAGCTGACTTTGTCACTAGGAGGTTTCTGCTCGTTACATGCACACAGTCGTTTTCAAAATAAACTTACAATGTAGGTTTACTTCCTTAAGTTTAGGCAACAAAGGCCAAGGTATCATCATACAGCGGTTTATATGAAGTCCTACGAATTAGCGACCCATGTATGGCGTTACCTCAACGTAAAGTTAGGTAATTAACGTAGTTATGGAGGTTAGGTTTGGGCAAGTAAAGTTACTGTGAATAGGCTCAGGAAAAGAAACACGATGAGGACGTACTTTCAAATGCCTCAAAGTTCAAACTATTCCAAACACCAGTCTCCTGGGGAAAGTCCTGTGGTTTGTGACCCATCTACAGCTACCACCTGCCTAATGACTGGACCACTTCCTTCTTTTTTTCAGTGCAATGGTCACATGATCACAGCTTTCCAAAATACATAGGTTATACTTGAATTATTGGTTTAAAATTACATAGAGATGCTTTGATTTTGGTGCACAGGAGAACGTGCAAACCAAACCAATTGGTGTCACTCCGAAGTCGTCAAAAATCGGGCTTGGTCAGTGATTTCCGGCATCAGACACTGACAATTACAGCCATCCTTATATGTCAGCATGATACGTAGCCGGTCGCCATTATTGTTTAACAGTCCCAGTGGCCTCGGGGAAATGTGGCGGCACAACAATGAAACCTAAAGCAACAGAAATCCGAGTAGGATGGGGTGGGACGGGTGGTGGATGGATCCAGAAGACACCAACTTTCGACAAGGAGGCGGGTGTTCACTTCCCGTAAGATTGTAAAGCCAAACCCTGTTCTTGTTTCTGAGCCCAACCACGTGTGTGTGTTGTTGAAGGAAAAAAAGGTCGTACCAACGTAGTGAGACTGTATGTTAAATTTCCTGTGAAAACAGAAGTGTATTTTGAAAACAGACAATGCATGTAACAGGCTGAAGTTGACACGGCGTCCCAGAACGTCAACAACCAACACACCCAGGGTACCTTGGACGTCATATGTGGACGTGGAAAGTCCATGACCAAACGTGGACATGTGACGAGCTCACAGTGAGGATGAGTTGAACAAAAACATCATGCGTGGCTGAAAATAAACACGTTTGTTATTAACATGTTATGACATCACGACATCCGTGTAACTTTCTTACTCTTTATAATTTAGTTGTTTCTGTGCACATCAACAAATGTCACCACACCGTGCTCGTCATGCGGCTGAGGGTACCTGTGTGCTTTGGTGTCTGACACGGTGGGCCGCTGACCGAGTGTGTCGCAAATTTGCATCACTGACCTTACATACTTTACGCAGAGTTACAGAGGTCCGGTTTAGGAAGGGAAACATGGTACAGATGCACCTTAAGATTTCCGCGGTTACAAACACAGATCTTCTCAAGGGAAAGTTTGCATTTTCTGAACCTTCCAGCGCCCCACCCCTCCGACCTTTCAGAACCACGTTCTTCTTCGTCTTTTCTCCCGTCAGCGCGTTGGTCATGTGATCACAACCTTCCCAAATACATGGATTATACATGAATTCCTGGCTTTGACTATGTAGGATATGCATGGAATTTGGTGCAAAGTCAGCTGGAGCTAAATGAAGCTAACGGCTCAATTAGCAAGTTAGTTGTGAGCAACAGTCGCCATGTCAGCTCAGAACCTCTATGGATGCTATCATACAAGATGTGCTGAAATGCAACACATGACAGTCTGTTTTACATTTGATTTCATTAATAAATGTAATGTAGTTCTAGTTGGTAAAATTAAACTTTAATTTAGATGAAAGAACTAAGAATAAATTTGAGGAACAGGGGAAGTTTTCTAATGACTCTGTCCGTATAGGTTCTTGCATGAGGCCCAGTAACCCTGTCTCCTTTTAGCTAAATGCCCCCCTGATACAGAAGAAGAGATTTTTTCCCATCTGCCCCTGGTACACTGAGCATGCCTGGCGGTGTGTCATGCACCCCCGAACTTTAATAAAGACAGAAAACAAACAGAGAGAAAAACACTGCCGTCACCTCTGCAGTGAAAATACATCAATGACACCTCTGCAGCCCTTAGAGATGATCTCCACACCTCCTCTCCAACACCGCCATGTCATCCCAAAATGCCCCCCTTGACCCCCTCCCTGATGGTAAAGTCACATGACACAGACAGAAGGAGGGACACTAATGCTCCAGTCAGAAAGCTCAAAGAAGAGTATATGTATGACACACAAGACAGAGAAGGAAGTTGTTGGGGGTTTTTTTGGGAGGGGGATGATGGTGGTGGTTGAAGGTAGCGCCCCTCCCCCCCTCCTCCACTCTGCCTGTTGTCATGCGGGCAGGTGGTCGATTATCCGGAGGCGTTGATGTACAGCTGACTCTGCAGGATGTAGTCGATGACGGGCTGACACAGGTAGTCCACAACATGGCCGTCACCGTGCTGCAGGGCCAGTCTGGTGACAGAAGGAGGGGACAAATACTCTTCATCATTGTACTATAACAAACATGTATCTCCAAAACTTCGACCATTCAGACAAACAGGAGTTGTGGATCTGACAGTAACATTGAAGTTTAATCCCCACCTGCTCTTGGTTGAGCTGACGATGGACATCGGGTGGCTCATCCCATCTTTCACCACAAGGATGTTGTCCTGAAAACAAGACCAGCACACAGATTTCAGACGAGACGATAAAAGAGGACAAACAGGGTAAAAAATAATGGAACCAGAGTTAAACAGCAATAATGACCTTGAACTTGCGGAGGATGGAGGAGTGATTCATGATCCTCTCTGTGTTGGCTCCATCACGAGGAACCACCACGATCCCAAAATCCCCCACGATCACCTCCATCTGAAACCACAGAGACACGATGTTCTGTTGCTCTTCAGGAGGAAGATACAGTCAGAAGGTGATAACTGTGGCTTTAGGGGTCCCAGTCACACCAGTATGACACATGTTGGACCAAATCAGTCCATCTCATGGACTCACCATGATGAGGTGATTTAGTCTTTTAGAAGAAGTAAATTTCTGTGGTGAACTTTGACAGTAACACTGTTGATGAATTAAAACCATTAGGAGCTGAAAGTCCAGTTCAGACCAAAGATTCACGACGAGATGAAACCGTTTTAGAACGTCACAGAGAAAAGTGTCAGCGGTGTGAACTGGCCGGTCTGAGCTCGACTCAAGCCGGCTGATGGTGTCACCTGACACTCAGCTGGTCAAATGGCCGGCAGCTGGTTTTAAAGCACGTCACCTGTTTCAACAGCCAATCAGCTTGTAGTGAAGTCTGCTGGTCAAGTCAAAATGACCACAGACAGCGTGTTGGCTTGCTGCAGCAGGTGCTCCGTCCCCACAGAGCCCTCTGTTTCTGTCCTCACGGTGTGCCGGTGTCAGGTGTTGGGTCGCTGCTGCTGCTGGCTGTATGTGCTTATGCCCCGCCCACACACACACATACTCATTGGCGTATTGATTATGAATACAGTCCATCTGATGCTGGTTTTGTTTCATCACTGTAGCCAGTATCTCACTATCACTATCCTCATTCAGATTTTAAGAAGCTACAAATTATATTCAGCCACAAAATAAGTTGTTGACTAGAGACGATACGCCGTCTCATGGCGGTCACTTCCTGTCAACGTTACAGATCAGAAGCACAGAGAGTTGTTGACTAGAGATGATACGCCGTCTCATGGCGGTCACTTCCTGTCAACGTTACGGATCAGAAGCACAGAGAGTTGTTGACTAGAGACGATACGCCGTCTCATGGCGGTCACTTCCTGTCGACGTTACCGATCAGAAGCGCAGAGAGTTGTTGACTAGAGATGATACGCCGTCTCATGGCGGTCACTTCCTGTCAACCAACAGGTTTTACAACATTACAGAACAGAGCGTTGTCAGTAGTTGTTTGTTTCAACTTGTCTTGTTGCGATTCTTTGGTCTGAACTGGACTTTAACAGGAGCAAACCTGAGGGAAGGCGATCACACGCTGGAACAAATGTGTTCCGTTGAATGAACCATTTGACTGATTTGCTGCCTTTTATTTAGCCGAAACTCTCCTCATCTGTACACATGAAGTCAGTGAAAAGTGTTTCTACATGATAAAAATTTAGACAAAGTTTTGTGACTTGCAGGAACTTTACAGGAGATTCCATTACACCTTAAAGTTAATTCAGACTGCAGTTATTCACTTCTCAAACTACAAATGTGACAGCTGGAGTGTTTTGCATTCTGCAAATTAAACAGCCAACGTACTGGCTGTACAAACAGGAGACATGGCCAGCATTAACGTGGAGTTATAAGTGGAGTCATAAAACCACGGAATCAGCTCAGATGTTTCACTCTGGTCAAAACGTTTTCAACTCTGGTCTGGTTTTCATCTGGCCTCAATTTGTGCCAAAATGAGTTTGCATAAACTGTAAAACTTCAATTAAAAGCCTGGTCACTATTAAACGGCCAGTCTCTTTTACTAGCTACACATTTTGACAAATAAAGGCCTGTCTCAATTAGACGCCCAGGGGTCTCACTTATTAACATTGCGTATGCACAAAATGAGGCCTGAAAGAGACGTACGCCACTTCCCATGCAAAGTTGTGATCTATAAAAACAGACTTGATGGGAGAAACTCTGACCCCTGCTTACAAACGTTTTGGAGACAGGAAATCAGTGACGCAGATGCTGAGGTGGAGCCTTACTGTAGAAATTGTTGAATATTGTTTGGCGCATGCCATTGTTGGTACGTACATTTTAGTATGGATCCTACGCACTGTTTTGTGAATAAGATGCCTGGTCTGGTTGTCAAGAAGTTCTTTTTTTTTTTTTAATAGAAATTCTTCGGGCGTATAAAAGCAGGTTGTTAATTGATGTATTATCTGATGCCAAATATTTAAACAAGCAATATTCATACATGTTTAAATAAACAATTTCATTGTGTTTCCTGATCTTTGCTTAGAGGCAATGTTCTGATCCTACAGAAGAATTTCGGGTGAGTCAGGGTAATTTGTAACTGGTCAGTATTGGTTAGCATTTCACATGTACAGCACAGGCCTGTGATGTGTTATCATTAGCTTAAAACTACATTTGAATTTTAGAATATTTATCTTGTTTGAGATGACAAGAGTGGGACAATTTTCACAAATCCTCTCAGATTAGTAACTTGTGTCTTTGAATTCAGAATTCCCTTCGAATTAGAGATTATTATGAGAGTTATAACTCATATATAACTCTTGAATGTCCTCACCGTTTCTTGCTAACAGCTAGCATTCATATTAGCATGATGTTAGCAGTGTGAGAGAAGAATAACGCTGCATGCTAACACTTTCTTTTTGCAGGTGTTTCCTTTGACAGCCACATCGAAATGACCTGTCGGGGTATTACGATGGAGCTCAGAGGAAAGAGCTAAGAGGCGGGGCTACATTATGAATAAGGGCGGGGCTGCATTATGGGTGGGGGAGGGGCTACAGTGTGCTTACATCACTGTCCTTCCACAGACCAGGGATGCAGAAGGACTCCAGGAGATCACTGCCACACAGGAGCAAGATGCGTAACTCTACAGACAACAAACAGGCAGGAGGAAAGAGACACGTCCTCAGTAAACAACATGTTTACTCAGTAAACAACATGTTTACTGGATACAAACAAACCAGCAGGAGTTCAGACACAGCAGGAAGGAAAACCAGAGGACACGACACAGGAGTCTCTTCAGGTTTCAGATACTGAAGAGACGACTCACCGATCTCCTCGTATCTCACTGTGGTACCCAGGTTAGCATTTTCATCTGAAACAATGAAACAGAACACAAATGTCACTCAGTATACGATAAATGTACGGGGTCTCAAGTGTGCCGCTAAAAAATTACATACTTTATTAACTTTTAATTATGATCAACTGATAGATAATGAAGATAATGGCAAAGTGTCTCTGGTAGTTGTGAACCCACAGAGAATCATCACCAAACTGCAAACACCAAAACTTAGCCTCTTTTAGCTTCTAGTTTTGCTTTTGTTGCATATTTCCTGTTTGGCTCAGTCTCTGTTGTTTTCACAATAAAAGCTCTGATAAAACCACTGTACTATACCAGGTACACTAGAAATTACCTGTACCTGCTCAGGAGCAGACAGACACAGTTCAACACTAGCTGGTGAACATAGTGAAGCATTAAGTGGCTGAAGAGACAAATATTTCCTTCAGGAATTGGTTGAGACCAAAACCACAAAGACTCCAAATGAATCATCATATTACTCTGCTGGATACGGAAATAAGAATCTGTTGAACATGTTAGCTACAGCTTTTTTTTTTTGAGGTAACAACATGTCAGATTGCAGCTTTAACCAAATGATAAATACAGAGGACTGAGAATAGAACCCTGAGGAACTCCAATAATTCACTGACACTGTTGATTTACGTTATGTTATGTATGTCTGGTGATTGTGGAAGTTGGCAGCTGTGTGCTGACATGAAGTGTTGTGCTTACTACCAAATGCTAAAAAAAATAAACAGTGAGTGTAGCGTTATGGGTTGATGAGGTATACAGATGCACAGTCTAACTCTGAGCAGCAGCTGCTCACTTGTTAAGATGTCTCCATAAACTCTGGTGTGTACTTTTCTCTACTGTCTCCGTCGTGTTTACTTACCGACGAAGGTGAAGCGTTCGACGTGAGGGCGGACGCAGCAGATCTTCCCCAAACTCTCACTGATCTTCCCCCACAGTTTGACTGTGCAAAGAAAAGAGGAGGAGGAGCGAGAGATGTTTAGACTCCAAAACAGATCACATTTATTAACAAATAATCATCTGATGTTAAGTATAAAAGACAACAGCTTCACTGATTGGGAGTATATTTAAGTGTGAACCCAGAGGGAATAAAATCCCTGACTGGATCCTTTAACTTGAGCCCTCACTGGTGGATGAATAAGTGATGAATATGGAGGAAGATGACTCACTGGCTGTGGGCTTGTGATTCATGTTGTTGTGGTTCTGGTAGATGGGAGGAGCCTGGTTCTGTGGCTGGCCAATCACGGGAGTTGTTGATGGCGTGTTGACGTTGGACAGAATGCAGCCGGTGACTCTCTGAGGAATTAAAAATGAATGATCAACAAACGCCCTCCAAAAACAGCAACACTCGAAGGGAGACGGAACAAACTGTCAATCCTCCCCATGTTCAGACAGGGATGGAGAATATAGGGAATATGATTAAGGTTTCCATGGTAACTGCTGCATGAAGGCATCGCTGATAGTATCAGGCTCAAATGGTGAGATCAAGGTCCCGATCATGGTGATCCACATCACTGTGCTGATCTGTTTTGTGTGTTGTATGATATGATTAATTAAAAAAAATAGAATTATAGTATTGCAGGTGTATGACTCCGCCCACCAGTCCACCCTGTGGTTGTATGACCCCGCCCACCAGTCCACCCTGTGGTTGTATGACTCCGCCCACCAGTCCACCCTGTGGTTGTATGACCCCGCCCACCAGTCCACCCTGTGGTTGTATGACTCCGCCCACCAGTCCACCCTGTGGTTGTATGACTCCGCCCACCAGTCCACCCTGTGGTTGTATGACTCCGCCCACCAGTCCACCCTGTGGTTGTATGACTCCGCCCACCAGTCCACCCTGTGGTTGTATGACTCCGCCCACCAGTCCACCCTGTGGTTGTATGACTCCGCCCACCAGTCCACCCTGTGGTTGTATGACTCCGCCCACCAGTCCACCCTGTGGTTGTATGACTCCGCCCACCAGTCCACCCTGTGGTTGTATGACTCCGCCCACCAGTCCAGCCTCTCTGACAGTCTCCATCCATGTCAGTGAAAACATGGATGCTTCACACACAGAAGATCTATACAATCAGCACAGTTTCAAGATTAGAGTCACCAATTCAGTATCTGACCAAATGTCTCCCCTTCTGTTCCTGAGATATGACGTTAAAACATGATGATGTCACAGTCAAGCTGACCTTTGTAAGAAATAGAAATAGTCAGAAATAGCTGCCAACTAATTTTCTGCCAATCAGCTGATTGATTAATCAACAAATCATTTCATCTGTACTTGTTTTAACTCTTGGATATTTTAATTTATGACGAAGCATCATATTTTTTATTTTATTTAATTTAATTTTTTTACCTAAAAATCTTAATTTGTAAAGTGCCTACAGTGTTCGGATAAATGTAGTGCAGTGAAAAGAATTTCTGCTACGATGTGGAAAAAACCTGTCGTCACCTTCATCAGGTCGCGGTGATGCTCCAGCACGCTGCAGGTCGTCTGCCAGGTGTCCTGGTAACACTCCCAGGGGTCCACCCTGCACCACACAAACACAGATTTATACACTCTGGGTTCAGTTCACACGTCAGAGGTCAAAGACTGTTTTCTTTAAAAGTGTATTTACGTAGAAAAAAAGGAATATGAACAACAAGACACACAAACATCAGCACAGGGTTCCAGATCTTACTCATCAAACCTCTTCTGTCTTCAGTATAAAACCTCTCCAGGTGTGTTTGCCACTAACCATAAATAATACGTGAGCCTATTTTCACACTCACAAGATTAACAATTGTGCAATCACCTTTCCAAACAAAACAGACGTTTTTTGAGACTAATTGGCAAAAGATAAAGGAATACTTCACCTGCAAAATGAGCATCAGTACATCAGTTACCCAGCAGCTGAATTCATGAAGAAAACATTTCTCTCATCCCTTCACAGTGAACGGAAAATCCAAAAAACAGAGAACATTCTTCATGAATTGAAGTAACCAAGGTCCGCATCTAACAACAGCAAAACTGAGCTGCTCAAAAAAATGAAGGTAGCATTCATGGTCACAGTCTGACAGGAAGTCAGGTAAACTTCAGGGATATCAGTCCAGTGATTGTGAATCAGTTTCAGCTGCTTTGGTGCAAATCAAAGTGACAACAGGTGCAATGGAGAGGCAAAAGCAAGACAACCCCCCAAAAGGGAATGGTTTTACATGTGGTGTCCACAGGCAGTTGCTCTCTCCTTATCCTTCCTGACTGATTCTTCTCCAGTTTTGTCACTATGGTAGCATGAGGCCGCACCTGCAGTCCAATCAGGTTGATACCAGATACCAGGAGACCGGCCGTTACACCAGGAGAGCTGCACAGGGCCGTAGAAGGGCATCAACCCAGCAGCAGGACCGCTATCTGCTCCTTTGTGTGAGGAGGAACAGGAGGAGCACTGCCAGAGCCCTACAACATGACCTCCAGCAGGCTACTGGTGTGCATGTTTCTGACCACACTGTCAGAAACAGACTCCATGAGGGTGGCATGAGGGCCCCACGTCCTCTAGTGGGACCTGTGCTCACAGCCCAGCACAGTGCAGCTCCATCATTCACCAGAGAACACCAGAACTGAAGGGGCCACCAATCCAAGCCTCATTTATGCAGTTGGATGATCTGTACTGACACAGACACTTGAATTTCATGAAAACATTACAGGTTAAAAACTTCTGCTTGTAAGTAGCACACCCTGAACTGCCTGGGCACATGTGTGTTTAAACTCTGCTCAGGTAGAGCTTGTACACATGTATCTAAAGCACTGATCATCCAACATGAACGTGTGAACAATATAGTTTTGCTGTTGTTATAAGTAGACTCTGTTTACTCCTATTTTGGATTCTTCGTTCACCGTGGAGGCGTGAGAGGAAAACAAAGTTGTTGTTTTTTACCAGTTCAGTCTAACAAGTGGTGACTACTTGATATACAAATGGACATTTTGCAGTTTTCTTTAGGCTCCGATCACACGGAAAGTGTCTTTGCAGCTGGAGGCGTCTTTTTCTAACAGTTTTTAATGAGAATGAAACTTTTTGCTCGCTGTTTTTCTTCTTCTACGTGCCTCGTGTTTCTGCGCTCTAGGCGCCTGACGTTTTTTCCAGAGCGCTCTGAAAACTTCAACTCAGAGCCGAAAAGTGCCCCACGTCATTTCTGCCTTTTGATGTGAGAGGCGGGGCTTCTGTGGTGGTCATGACAACAAGTTCACAGTTGGTAAACAATGGAGGAGAAACTGGTGGTAGTGGTTGCTGGATACCCAGAGCTATACGACTTTACAAAGCACAGTTAGCACCATCTGAATAGAAAACAGCAGATAAGTGCAGTACTGTAAACGTCCATGATGGAGGAGAAGCTCCTGGACCAACTGGTGGTACTCCCCATGATCCAGCCTCTTTTTTAGGGTCTCATGTACCCACACAGATCTCTGTTTATCTGCTGACAGCCTCTCACCCTCAACCAGAGCTACAGACAGCACCCTCTGCCTCAACATGGCAGCAGCTACACACTGATTACTGCAGGATACACAAACAGTAGACTGATCACACAGGAAGGTTAGTGTGAGGAGGTGATTGGGTGGTTGCCTGGCAACAATAAAAAGGTGCAGCAAGTTTTTTTTTTTCACTTGTGGCATTCAGTGTTTCAAAGAAAAAGGCGGTGCCATGCGCCTCGCTTTTTACAACCGGCAAAACAATTTTGTGTGATCGAAGCCTGAAGGAGCTTTTTGCTCCAAGAAACAATGTGGAACATCCCATAATATAACGACACATCCTATGATAATAACATGCAAGGTGAAGAGTCTGTGAAATGTCTCACCTGATCCAATCAGAGGACTGAACAGCCAGCTGACACATGGTGAGACGATGTCTGCTGGGAACTAAACCCTGCACACACACACACACACACACACACACACACACACACACACACACACACACAGGGTTAGGGTTAGGACGCTGCAGCCGTGATGTGATGTCAGATTCAGACTGAGGTCAGCTGTGTAGTGTAAGAATTAATCCCTAATCCAGTAAAAGTGTTATACTGCATAAATTGATCAAGAAACAAAGCCATATAACCATCATATAGCACACACACACTCAAATGTTTGTACTACCAGATGCACATTTTGAAGTTTATATTGTATAAGAGCACGAGGGACTGCATAAAGAAAGTCCCCAAGACTCACATGTTTTTTAAAAATAAAGTGAAAGCAAATCCGAAGCTAAGGGTGGAAAATTTGGGAATTTCCAGGCTCAAATCGAAAGTGATACACCATTAAAATCGGGCCTGTTCACAATTGGACAAAAAGAAAAAGGTTGCCACCAATAGCTTTACATTGAAGTGGGATGGATTAACAGAAGGAGGTGAAGACTCTCTTCAGTCTCCACCAGCATAAAAGCAGACGCACTGAAAGTAGTTTTTCAGTCCAGCTCCGGGGCTTGACTCGATGAGTTGTATGTGTTGAAGCTTGTGAACACATTAAACTCGACTGCATCGGACTCTGCCTGTCTCCAGTGTTTCTTTGAGTATACTTAGCTGAATCCAAGGTACCAGAACGACATCAGAGGACAACTGAGAAGCAACGCTGAGGACAAGGTCGGGAGCCTACAGGCCCAATTCCAGGCACCGATTTTTGCCCCTACAGCTGTCAGGTGGTGGATTTTATTTTTCATCATCCAGATCAAATCAGTGCATCTGTGTTAACTGTCTGATTAACGAAAGAACCACAAACGACTTTCTACGATCATCAGAGACAGTCGTTATCTTCACCATCTGATATTTACAGTCACAATGTCATCGTCATTTCCTGGCACAGTTGGTCTCTCTGTTCCTCCTAGACTCCCCTTCACTCTGCCTTTTTCCATCCATCCACCAGACGCTGTCACACGTTCCCTCCTTTCCCATCACCTGACTGCCCCGCCCACATCCACACTTGTTTCTACTTCCCTCACCTGCAGCTCCGTTCATTCCCTGACGGTTTGTCCACTGTTCCTCTGTCTCTGTGTGTTTTTGCTTGTGAGCCTCTGTTTCCTCACCTGTGGTGTGTTTACCTGCCTGTGAGCCCAGGTGTACCTTCACCATGGCAATAAGTCATTGAACTCTTCTTGTCTGCCTGCAGTGTCTGCGTTTCCATTCAGATATAATAATAATATCATTTATAACATTCAGGTGAATCAGTGATTACAGATAAACAAAGTATTCTAACTAGAAAAGCACTCGGAGAGCACAGACCTCCGCCAAGCAGCTCGGATTTCCCGCCATTTTATTGGACAAAGAGAACACAAATCAGATGTAATAATGTTAAATTTAAACAACAGTCAGTACGAATGGTTCATGAGGATACAGAGTCTGAGCAGTTGGACTCTTTGTGTGTGTGTGTGTGTGTGTGT